GGGTTTGAACCGCCAGCCGTCTGGTTAGCAGGCAAGTGTCTTAGCCACTATGCTACCAGAGCTCCCAAGAGAGACCCTTAGTGAGGTGGATTAGCACAATAGTCACAGGAGTGGACTCAAATATGCCTTGAGGGTAATTCAGGATGGGGCAACATTTTGTTCTGTTGTGTATAAGGTCTCCCTGACTCAAGAGTTTTCTCAACAACATCTAGCTAGCTAGCTAGCTACCTAGCTAGCTAGATGGTATCTATCTATCTAATAAAGCTGTCACACACCTAAAAGTCAGAAGCGGGGCAGTGGTGATTGAAACATAAGTAATTTTCTTTTCTAACTTCTCTTTTATCTTTGAGCACAACTTTGTGTGCCTTCATTCTTGGAAAATCACTTCAATGGTCCATTTAGCTGTTTAGTTATATAAATGTAAAATAAAATAACTTTATAGGATATAAGGCAATAGAGAAGCAATGGTTTTAAGGAGCTAAACTACTCTGTATGATGATGGAACGTGTAGGCAAAGTGCTTCTCTTGGACTTTTTTACAGAAATGTTTATTTTGTAAGTATGGATTAAGCTGTGCTATGCTGTGCCTGCAATGTGTTACTTCTTCTGGAAATATGCTCTTGTTCAAACCACTGGTGAAAAAATAAAGGCTGATAATAGGCTTATTGCTCTGAAATTTTCACTTCATAATGGGGTAAATATGGGCAAAAGGATTAGGTAATGACTGGTTAAATTAAGCTTGGATTGGACTATAGGTCTCTGCCTGGAGCAAGCATGGTGGTACTTCTCACATACTTTGGACATGCTATCAGGAGGGACCCACTACTCATCTGTCAGTTTGTCATACTGTGGTGGCTGTATGTCGCTGTGAGGCTGGAGGCTGTGCCACCAGTATTTCAAATATCAGCAGGGTCACCCATGGTGGACAAGTTTCAGCAGAGCATCCAGTCGAAGACATACTTAGAAAAAGAGAGGGGCTGTACACTTCTCAAAGAATTGACCGGTGTAAACCTATGTACAGCAGTGAAACACTGTCTGATACATTATTGGAAAACTTCATGAATAGCTCTGAAATATTGTCTGATATGGTGCGGGAAGATGAGCCCCTCAGGTTGGAAGGAACTCAAAACATGACTGGTGAAGAGCTGCCTCTTCAGAGTAGAGCCTACCTTAATGACATGCATGGAGTACAGCTTTCAGGACTTTCATTTGCTGATGGGGCACAACTCAAACCGGGGAGAAAGAGGTGCAAACATCTATTAATAATCGGAACATGGAATGTGCAAAGTATGAATCTAGAAAAATTGGAAGTTGTCAAAAATGAAATGGAACGCATAAAGATCGATATCCTAGGCATTAGTGAGCTAAAATGGACTGGTTTTGGCCATTTTAAATCAGACAACCATATGATCTACTATTCCAGGAATGACAAATTGAAGAGAAATGGCATGACATTCATCATCACAAAGAATGTTTTAAGATCTACCCTGAAGTACAATACTGTCAGTGGCAGGATAATATCCATATACCTACAAGGAGTTAATAGAGCTATCTACCTGATGCAAATGTTCGCCCTGTATGTTCTCATTGTATTTTGATGTGCATTGTTTTACTTAGTGAAGATGATTTTTTTTTCTAACTAATCCTTTGCATTAATTCTCAGATCACTCATACCCTTTTCCTAATAATAAAACTTTTAGTTTTAATAAAAGTTTATAAGAATACCTATGAGAAGAATCCTATCAATCTTACATAGTTGCTTTTTTAAAAAAGTAAATTTTTATTTTTGAGATAATTATGATGTCACATGCAGTTGTAAGAAATGATACAAAAAGATCACTTGTACTCTTTGCCCAGCTTTCTACAATGGTAACATCTTGCAAAACTATAGTATAATATCACAACTAAGATATGGGCATTGATACAACAGAAATATAGAACATTCCATCACCACAAGAATCAATCCTTATACTCTCTGATCCCCTGATCCCTGACGGCCACTAATCTGTTCTCCATTCTCATAATTTTGCCTTTCAAGAATGTGATATAAATAGAATTATAGGGTATGTAAGTTTTTGGCATGGCGCTCTGGAAGTACAGTGGTTAAGCACTCAACTGGTAACTGAAAGGTCAGCATTGGAACCCACCAGGTGGCTGAGTCTGAACTGATGCATGGCAACAGCTTTTTTTTTTTTTTTTTTTTTTTAAGCTTTTGGTATTGGTGTTTTCAATCAGCCTAATTCCCTACCCACCAGCCACTCCTTGGAAGGAAGGTTGGGCAATCCTACTTCCGTAGTGATACTGCCTTGGAAACCCAAGGAGGGGTCGCTATGAGTCGGGGCCGACTCGATGGCAAATAACAACAACAACAACAATTCCCTACAGATTTATTCAAGTTGTTGGGCAAGTCAATAGTTTGTTCCTTTTTCTTGCTGTGTAGTATTACATGAGCCAACTTACCAGTTTCTTTAAACATTTATCGCTGAATTTTAGACTGTATCATGAATGTTTGCCTGAGTTCAGGGGCTGAAAGGGGGAAAGAAAATATAGTCACTATTCAAGCACTGATGGCAGTGTGTTTGGGTTTGGTAGTCAGGAAAACCCACTCAGTCATTCCATCAGCATTCACCGAGAACCGCCTACGGGTCCAATACTACCCTATACATTTGATTACAGAAACAACCAAGACCTGAAGAACAAGACCGAAATTAAATAACAGTGCGTGCTAACTCTGGAACACAGGTTGGTCCAGATTTCAGGAAGCAAGAAAATGAGTAGTTCAATGAACATTTTGCCATTAATAACAATTTCCTAAAATTTAACAATTTAACTAGTTGTCATTTCAAACAGACTCAAAATTGACATGTCTGGTTAGTTAGTAAATGACAGTATCTATCTACTGAATCAGTTTTGTTGTTGTTGTTTATCTACTGAATCAGGTGTTTTCTGAGCACCTTATATCTGATCTTAAGGAGAAAGACAAAGACCAAATTTTAAAGATGTAGCCTTTGAGGAGGGTGCCAGACCTGGATTTATCAAAGTAGCTTTCTTTTCCCATTCACAACAGCTCCGGACAGCATGCTCTAATTGGCAAGGCCGGTGTTCCTGAAAAATCCTAACCCTCCTACTGATTACCTGTGGTCCGTATGCAACTGCCTCACCCAAAGTTATTTGAAGATCTGATTTTAAGCAAAACGAGGCCAGTACGGCGCAATTAATAAGTTTCCCTCAATGTAAACAGTAAGGAGATCGCGACACAAACTGGGAGGAAAAAAAAAATTCTTGGTGCCTTCAAAGTAGCTTTAATCAGTCCCCTAAATCTATTTCCCATTTATGATCAATATCAACAAAAACTTAGCGCGCGTTGCACAGAAAATTGCCCCTTCACACGCGCAACTCTTGGCCTAGGGTTCTAGGTAAGACGTTTAAAAGGCTTTGGTGCAAAATTAGAATAAGTAGCCCTGTCCCTGACTCACTCGGCGTGCTCAGGACCAAGAAACCTGAGACAAGGAAGAAAAGATTTTCTAGTTAGGTCAAGGGTCAACAAATCAAACATCCACACCCCCGAATTGGGACAGCTCTGGTAGCATAGTGGCTAAGACACTTGCCTGCTAACCAGAAGGCTGGCGGTTCAAACCCACCAGCCACTCCTCGGAAGGAAGGTTGGGCAATCTACTTCCGTAGTGATACTGCCTCGGAAACCCAAGGAGGGGTCGCTATGAGTCGGGGCGACTCGAAGGCACATAACAACAACAACAACAACAACAACCACCGAAGCCTTAGCTGCTGAATCAAGGAGCTGGAGGAAATGACGTCAGGACAGGTCACTGGAGAAGGCGGGGCCACTGAGAGGACCCACCTATCAGGCCTGGGAGAGGTCGGGGGTGTGGTTGGAGGGTTGGTGGGCCGGCGCGGGGCCGAGCACGCGGAGGGCGGGGCCTGGGTGAACAACTTGCGGGGAGTGGCCTGCTTCGTCGACAGCAGGCGGTCACTCCTGCTGGCTGGAGGCCGAGGCGAACGAGGGGACATGCGGACCGCGAGAGAGTCCAGACCCTGCACCCTGGCGCTTCTCCCTGGCGCGGCGGCGGCCACTTGGCGGCTGCTGGAGTAACCGCTGCCTTTGTTCCGAACGCCTTGTCTCTCCCGTCACCCTATCCCCTCACGTTGTTGCTCTCCGGGCAGTGCGCCCCCGGCCCCGGATCCCTCTACAGCTCGTGCCGCGCGAATGCGGCTGCCGGGCCTGGGTTTGGGCTTTGCGCGGGAGAAGAGGAGCGGCGGTGCCTGGGAGGCATGCGATGGGGAACTGCTGCTGGACGCAGTGCTTCGGGCTCCTCCGCAAGGAAGCGGGGCGGCTGCAGCGCGTAGGAGGCGGCGGAGGGTAAGCCCTCGGGGGAGGGACCTGAGTTCCCTAGCTTCTGTTCTGCTCCTAATGGACAACCCTTTTACTGCGCGTAACCACTTGGAGGGTCCAGGAGCTCCGCCACACTAGCGCTTTAACACGCAGGTAGTCTTGGTGGAGGCCCTGTCGCCAAGGGCCAAGGCGGATTTCCCTGGGAAAGAGCTGGAGGAGGGGGCGGATGTCACTCTGCTGCTTCCAGCGTGACTCCTGTGGGCGCGCTGTCACTGGCGCTGTCACGGGGGGGAATTATCTCGAGGATGCATGGGGGCTCCCTCGCGCGAGTGGACACCAGGACCGACGCTCAGCACTCTGGACACACCCTACTTCGGGTTTATTACTCAGTTTTGTGCTTTTTATATGAATTAGTTGAAAAAAATTCCTTTGGAGTTAGCTTTGTTGTCTAAATATCTCCCAGATACTCAAACCTAGGATTGAAAATCGGAACCAAACCTACTTTGTGTAAAGTGTCAGAATTTCGCACTTTCTGGAACAGATTGCTTAGGTCTCAGGAGCTGTCCCATTTAACCAACAGTATTAGGTGAAAAGGTGTTCAACATAAGCAGACTGAAGCCAAATTATATATAATTTGGATCTTTTAGTAATGGAGACCTTATGAAATATAATTTCCCCGATCATCAGTCATTGAGTGCCACCTCCGTGTTACTCTTCTTACTTCAAAGTACTTAATTTAAGGTTTTATAATAAATGTCCCCATAATGGAATAGGGAGGACTTCTAGATCGTGTTTCTAGTTTAGTATTTTAGATTCCTTGACATTGGGGCTGTTACTGTTACAAGGGACATGACAGCGGAATCACCTAATAATATAGTTTCCACTTTTGTTGTGTGCATGCAACAATATAATTAAATTGCTTAAACAGACTTGCCTAAGGAATAATAGATGCCAGAAAATCTCTGGCTTTATTATTTTATTGTAGTTGTGTTGTAAGTGTTAAAATTGCCAGACATTATAACTGTAAAAATAGGCTCTTACACTCTAAATGAGTAAGCAAAAATCATTTATAGTTTACTTTGAACCATATTATGTGGTGTCTGTGGGACTTTTGTTTTGTTTTGTCCTATCATGGTGGTTTGACAGTTTTCCTTAGAGTATAGCATTAAAATTAGATTCTGCTGTCTGAGCACATGAGCTTGACAGCATGAGGAAGAAGCAAGGGGAAATCACTGAAACTTGTGTTAATTGCCTATACACATGTCATAAAAACATAATAGTGGGATCATACTCTCTGTTTGTGGGCAAAACTTGAGCAAGTTTTGCTGAGGCAATGAGAGTCTGTGGGCTGTAGACACTGTCTTCTAAAATCATTTAATGGTGAGAAGAGTTCTAACTTTTTTAATCCATAAGCATAGCTTTTGACAATTTCCTTTCTTGAGTCATCCAGTTAACCTGTTGTTTTACATAATTTTAAAATTATTTTAGAAGCTTCTAAAATAATATGAATGCTCATCTAAGCACTGAGAGACGGGTGACCGTAATAGTTGGTTGAACTTTACTCTCATTTCAGTTACTTTTTTTTTTAAAATCTCCTTGTACTTTTGATTCTTTCAGGTATAGGGTTGGATAGTTAACTAACTGGGAATTTATCTAAAGGTGAAAACGTTTAGGATAATCACAGAAACTTGATTTGGTTTATATTTGTCATTCTAGTGACCATAAGTAGAACAGGATATCCTTGCTCTGTGATGCTGGACATCACAGGTGTTTTATGATCCAGGACCTGCTTTCCTAGCCTTGCAGATTTTCCAGGTGTATGTCAAAATTAGATCATTCGATTCACTGTCCAATTTCACAACTAGAATTATCAATATTTTCATGTATAAAATACTAGAGAATTCGACTTTTTTTTTTCCCCCTAGAATGTTATCTACTGGTCAGATATCAGTATCAATCTTGAGTATGTTGGCAACCTTAATACTAATAGTTATTTGGTGATTAAAGCAGGGGGAGATGAATATTCTTAAAGAATAAATTTTAGGCATCCTAATGGGTCATCCTTCACTATGGAGGGAGATTTGCCTGAGTGCAGCTCTCTTGAGAGCTCTATCTGCTGATCACTGCTCCTTTTTCCCTTGGTAGTACTGGAAATCTTTTGTCTAGACTTTTATCATGTCCTTATTTTTTTTTCTTTCTCAGGCTGAAGGCCTGATTATGTTGTGTTGTGTTATATTTTAATTCCTTTAAAATTCTACCATGTATTTTCACAGTGTTCCATTTAAGATGTACTATCGTTTTATATAGGAGCTCTGGTAGCGTAGTGGCTAAGACACTTGACTGCTAACCAGAAGGCTGGCGGTTCAAACCCACCAGCCACTCCTCGGAAGGAAGATGGGGCAATCTACTTCCATAGTGATACTGTCTTGGAAACCCAAGGAGGGGTCACTGTGAGTCGAGCCCGACTCCATGGCATATAACAACACAACAACAACATCGTTTTATATGGGAGCTCTGGTAGCATAGTGCCTAAGGCATTTGATTGCTAACCGGAAGGCTGGTGGTTCAGACCCACCAGCCACTCCTCAGAAGAAGGTTGGACAATCTACTTCCATAGTGATACCACCTTGGAAACCCAAGGAGAGGTCATTATGAGTCAGAACAGACTCGATGGCAGTGGGTTTGGGTTTATTGTTTTATATAAAGGTATGAGCTTTTTTTTGTATCCTTCTAGAACATTCTATCACTTCCTATTTGCTGGGGACTGTTCTAAGCATTTTGATGTTGTTTGTTGTTAGGTGCTGTCAATTTTGTCCCAACCCATAGCAACTCTACTCAAAACAGAACAAAACATTGGCCAGTCCTATGCCATCCCCACAGATTGTTGCTATGTTTGAGCCTATTTTTGCAGCCATTGTGTCAATCTATCTTCTTGAGGGTCTTCTTCCCCTTTTTCACTGACCCTCTACTTTACCATCTCCTACTTTACTGATATCCTTTTTCGGGGACTGGTGCCTCCTGATGACATGTCCAAAGTACGTGAGACAAAGTCTCACCATCCTCGCTTCTAAGGAACATTTCAGCTGCACTTCTAGCCATTCCTTCCAGCTGTGTGTTCTATGAGTTATCCATAATTTGTTGTATTCCACACAGTTGAGTGCTATTGCATAGTCAGTAAAACACAAGTAAATATCTCTCAGCCAAGATTCATGTGATACCAGCAGTGATATCCATTGTTCCATGTCCTCTTCTTAATCTAGGCTGAATTTCTGGCAGTTCCCTGTTGATGTACTGCTGCAACCATTTTTGAATTATCTTCAGCAAAATTTTAGCTGAATGGGATATTAATGATGTTGTTTGGTCATTCCCCCATTCTTTTGGATAACTTTTCTTTGGAATGAGCACAGATAGGGAACTCTTCCCGTCAATTGACCAGGTAGTTAGCTGTCTTCCAGATTTCTTCACATAGATGAGTGACTGAGTGCTTCCAATATAATATCCATTTGTTGAAACATCTCCATTGGTATTCCATCAATTCCTGAAGGCTTATTTTTCACCAATTCGGTGCCACTTGGGCTTTTTCCTTCTTTACATTTTGTTCTTCATCTTATGCTGCCTCCTGCAATGGCTGAATGTCTACCAATATTTTTGATACAGTGACTCCTTCCATCTTCTTTTGATGCTTTCTGCATCATTCAATATTTTGCCAATAGAATCCTTCCAAACTACAACTTGAGGCTTGAATTTTTTCTTCAGTTCTTTCAGCTTGAAAAATCCTGAGTGTGTTTTTCCCTTTTGGTTTTCTAACTCCAGGTGTTTGCACATTTCATTATAATACTTTATTCTGTCTTCTCAAGCTGCCCGTTGAAATCTTCTGTTCAGCTCTTTTAGTTTAGCACTTTATATTTCCGTATTTGTTTACCACCACTGTCCTATATAGAAGATAACTCCTATTATGTTCATTATAAGTTGAAAACTGAAGGTTTGAAAAGTAAATTTGTCCAAATTTGCAGAGCTAGGGTTTAAGTCCAGGTCCCCTCAGCACTAGGAACTCTTGGTTCTTTATTTTGTAGATAATTATTTGGTTGATATTCTTTAGTGCATTAGCTTGTACTTTATCCCTGGAAAATCTTGTGAATATATCTTAACAACTTGGCTTTTTATTCTTTGTTACAAAATTCTCCCCCCCCCCTTTTTTTTCCCCTTTGAAACTATTCACTTGACATTTGTGCTGTGAAATCTATCTTATTTTCCTTTTCCTCTCCTGACTTTTCTTACTCTATTTGCGTATTAAATATTAAGTTTTTCTTTGTCTTTTCTTTATTTAGTTCTCTTCATGTATATACTATCCCTAAAGAAATTACATCCATACCTCTGATTTCAGTTGTCATCACTTCCAAATCTCCTATCTCTGCATAGACTTTTTCAAAGCTTCAGCACTATATTTTCAGTTGCCTACTGAAAAGCTACATTTGGATGTATGAAGCCTTCTCTAGTCAGTCTATCTAGAACAGCACATTTTCTTTTTCCACAGATTTCTTCTTTCTCTGCTTCATGTGTTCCCTAACTCCTGTAGCAGCACCATTCACAGTCTGCTAAGCCACAAACGTCATAGTTCTCTACCTCCATCTAATCATTGACTCAGTATCTCCTTAACTCACGCTGGACCTGTTGTCATGTGCTCATCAGCTTTCAGCTTTCAGACTGTTCTCCATTTCTATTTCTCACACTTCAACACATCCTCCCTTATTGTTACTGGACTTAGGCTTTCTAAACCCAGTACTGAATTGTGCCTTTTCCTTTCTTAACGACTTGCATATGCTTTCTAATTTCCTACAGCTAAATTGCTCAGCCTTTTCTCTGGGACAGCGTGATGATTGCATGGCATGGCATTCAAATGTGCACCATAGTGAACAGGATTACATGCAGTTCCCCATTTGGATAGCTGTAATCTCACTTTTTTTTCCTTCATTCAAAAAATCATAACAAAATACCACTAAATGACAATAATATTATTAAAAGGATAA